GTCTGTGATTGGATAAAACATCAGAGCTGGTCTGTGATTGGATGAAACATCAGCACTGTTCATTGATTGAAATATCTAGACAAAATAATAAAAATAAATGTTAAAAAAAGACAAAGTCACACACGAGCACCTGATTGGAGGCTGATGGAAGCCAGTTTGCTCTGTAGCACCTGGTTAGTGGCATTCAGCAGGTTTAGCTCCGCCCTCAGTCTGCCCATCTGTCCATCCTCACCACACAGGCTCTCCACCTGTTGTCGTGACAACCGAGGAGGAAAAGAATATGAAATTAGTGTCATCACATTTCTTTACAGCTGGAAGACTTCTGATGTTTGATAAAGAAGCTAAAATGTACTGTCAAAAGTAAAACAACACAAAGCAAAAGGAGCACCAAGGTAGCTAAAGGCTAATGAAAGCAAAACTGTAGCTAAAAGCTAAAAATAGTAAAATTGAAGATAAAAGATAAAACAAGCTAAGTGTATCTAAAAGCTGAATGTACCACAGAAGTAGCTGAAAGCAAAAAGGTATAAAACAGTGGTAAAAAATTAGAACATACCTAAAGTCCAAAAGGTCATAAAACAGGAGCTAAAAGACCAAAAAGTAGCTGAAGCCCCAAAGTAACACATCTGTAGCTCAAATCCAGAGGTAGCAGAATAGTAGCTAAAAGCTAACAAGCAAAAAGTAGCTAAAAGTTCAAAGAAAACAGCATTTGCTAAAAAATAGCAGAACGGTAGCTAAAAGCTAAAATAAGATAAATGTATGTAAAAGCTAAAAATAACACAACAGTAGCTAAAAGAGGCAAATGAGTAGTTTAAAGCCAAATGTGATACAACAATAGTTAAAAGCTAAAAGATGCAGCACCTAACCAAAAGTAAAACAACATTGGCTAAAGCTAAAGGTTGGGGAACAGCATCTAAAACCTAAAAGAAGGAAATCACAGCTAAATTCTTAAAATAAACAGAATAGTTAAAAGTTAAAATAGCAGAACTTTGCCTAAAAGCAATAAAAGGTTAAATATAGCTTAAAACTTAAAATAGAGCACTAGTTGCTTAAGTTCCCATACCAGTGGTTAAAGAAATAAAATTATAAATGAAAGTCAAAGTAATCCAACAGTAGCTGAAAGCTAAAAGTAGCTGAATGGTAGCTTAAAGCTAAAAGAAGCTAAATGTAGCCAAATGTTAAAAGTAACAACAGTAGCTAAAGAAGCAATTCAATAACTAAAAGCCAAAAGTAACAACAGTAACTTAAAGCTAAACGTAGCAGAATGTTAGTTTAAAGCTAAATGAAGCTAAATGTAGGTTAGGATACAAGTAACACAACAGTAGCTAAAACAAACCAAATCATAAACTTTTACTGATGGAAGTTTTGATATAATAATGGTTAAAAAGCTGTTATAACTCTGTCTGTCTGTCTGTGTGTGTCTGTCTGTCTGTGTCTCTGTGTGTCTGTCTGTCTGTCTGTCTGTGTGTGTCTGTGTGTCTGTCTGTGTGTATGTCTGTCTGTCTGTCTGTCTGTCTGTGTTTCTGTCTGTCTGTGTCTGTCTGTGTGTGTCTGTCTGTCTGTGTCTCTGTCTGTCTGTCTGTGTGTGTCTGTCTGTCTGTCTGTCTGTGTGTATGTCTGTCTGTCTGTGTGTGTCTGTCTGTCTCTGTCTGTCTGTCTGTGTGTGTCTGTCTGTCTGTGTATGTCTGTCTGTCTGTCTGTCTGTGTGTGTCTGTCTGTCTGTGTGTGTCTGTCTGTCTGTGTGTGTCTGTGTGTCTGTCTGTCTGTGTCTCTGTCTGTCTGTCTGTCTGTCTGTGTGTGTCTGTGTGTCTGTCTGTGTGTATGTCTGTCTGTCTGTCTCTGTCTGTCTGTGTGTGTCTGTCTGTGTCTGTCTGTCTGTCTGTGTGTGTCTGTCTGTCTGTCTGTCTGTGTGTGTCTGTCTGTCTGTGTCTCTGTCTGTCTGTCTGTCTGTGTGTGTCTGTGTGTCTGTCTGTCTGTGTGTATGTCTGTCTGTCTGTCTCTGTCTGTCTGTGTATGTCTGTCTGTGTATGTCTGTCTGTCTGTGTGTGTCTGTCTGTGTCTGTCTGTGTGTCTGTGTGTCTGTCTGTGTATGTCTGTCTGTCTGTGTGTGTCTGTGTGTGTCTGTCTGTGTGTCTGTCTGTCTGTGTGTCTGTCTGTCTGTCTGTCTGTCTGTGTGTGTCTGTGTGTCTGTCTCTGTCTGTCTGTGTGTCTGTCTGTGTCTGTCTGTGTGTCTGTGTGTCTGTCTGTCTGTCTGTCTGTCTGTGTGTCTGTCTGTGTGTGTCTGTCTGTGTCTGTCTGTGTGTCTGTGTGTCTGTCTGTCTGTCTGTCTGTCTGTGTGTCTGTCTGTGTGTGTCTGTCTGTCTGTGTGTCTGTCTGTCTGTCAACCAACATTGACCCAGAAACTGAATCAAAGTTCTGACTTCCTGTTTTGGTGAATAAAATGAGGAAGTGGACCAGGAACCTGACTCTGCAGAGTCCACAAGTGGCCCTTCACTTCCACGGTCTCCAGGCTGTTGTTGCGGAGAAGAATCTGAAGGTCTTCGTCCATCTGAGACTCGTGACTGGACGTCAGCTTCTGAGACGTGGGGTCAAGATGGGCGGAGTCCAACACATAAACTGACCCACACACAAAAACAGAAAACCACAAGAATTTTTACAGAAACACAGCGAGTTTCATGTCCACGTCTTCTGGTCAGTGTCGAACCTTTATAAACGAGAAAGGCATCGAAGGCCGTCTGTAAGACGATGTAAACTACCAGGAGAAGGAAGCACCACTTTCTTCTGGGTCTCGCTGGTTTCAGATCTGAAACGACATGAAGAAGAACATGGACTTCGTCAGGTTCTCCCAGGTGAACAGTTCGTGGGCGGAGCCAAAACGGCAATTATCTTTAGCCACTGGAAGGCCCGTTAACTTAGTGACATTACGGTTTATCCACCAGCTTTTGACACGGCTTAAAAATACTATTTCTAAATATTTTTCCTCAAAAAATTAGTTATGTCAGCCTGATATAATATCGTAAATATAAGACTTTTTTAATTTTAACTTTTTAAGGGTTGTTTATTTAAAGAAAACATTTCAGCTTCTTTTTTTTAAATGACAAAATGTTTATTTAATATCAATTTTTGAAAACATAAAATAAATAAATAAACAAGGCATTTCAGTTTATCAGAACGCCCAAAACAATCTTTTGACAAGTCTGTAAAAAGTCCAGTCCGGATTTTTCTGAAGACCCTCCAGCCCAGCGGTCCTTCCGATCCGGTAGCTGGAACTGGAGCCGTGTTTTCGGTCAGACTTACTCCTGTCTCCCGGTCTTCAAACATGGAGGTTCTTTTCTAGTCTTTTTTTTTCAATAATTTTAAAATTATTTTCTTTTTTCTGTTTTATACTTTACCTTTGGTAAAAACAATAGTTTTTTAAATTGTATTTTAAATTTTTTATGCTTTTACGGACTCGGATATGCAGCGAGTTGCAGGATCAAGGTGCACCTGCCCAGCTTTGGGATAAACCAACAGCAGCTGTCATCTGATGCTGCAGCCTGCATGCATGTGAAACAGCTTTATAGTACTAAATGTGTACTTGTACACATTAAAAGTGAGTTTTTGCTCTTTACAACCAAACTAAAACTATTCTGTTGGACGAGATGAGAGGCGGTTCTCCACTGCGACTCTGGCTGATAGAAAGTTCTGCTGAGCTGAAACACGTCTCTAGATTTTTACATAAGCTCTACAAGATAAAAGTGAAGCACAACTAGTGACCTGATTTAAAAAAAGGAAAATATGGATAGTGTCATAATCTGTTCTCCTGTCTTCCTCAGTCCTTCACCTGTTCCTGATCCTAACCGCCCCCAGGTGTTTGTCATCGTCTCGTTAGTGTCTCTAACTAACCAAGGAGTGTAGGAAAGTTACTGGTCGGTTATGAGAAAGATTGAAAAAAAAAATTCGGACAAAAATAAAATAAAAGTAGGATTTTTAGGCTTTGTCAGAAAAAGATGTATTTATTGACTGCACCAAAATAAATTAATAAACTAAAACACGGACAGAAATAAAGGCGTGGCTGATTTTTTCCCCCATAAGGTTTTTCAAGGACCAATAATCTGATTTTGTCTTCAACAACATGTTCCTTGAAAACAAAGGTCAGAAATCTTCACCCGTTGTGACAACAGGAAAACAGTTTCATACAAATCTGTCAAGACAAATAAATATTCATGTCCAGGAGAACTCACATATCTGTTGAACCGCATCTGAAATGTACGTCCAGTTCTTCTTCATCTCTGCTGAGATGTTTCTACAGCTCGACCAGAGTCCATCTTCTCAGAGAGAGACCAAACCACAGTCAAAGGAACTGAGCTGAGGATGGCTAAATGTTCAATGGACTGTTCTCACATTTCTGTCTTATCGAGACACTCGCGGGTCTTTACAACAATCTGTGCCTCTCTCTACTAGACCTGTACAAAGACGAATCAGAGCTTGATCACATTCAGACACTGGGGACACACGTCTGAGGAAATGAGGGGTTCACTGTCTTGCCTAGAAGCACTTCAGCATGTGACTGCTGGTGGAATTGAACCCCCAACTCTTGCATTGGAGGACGACTGATCAAACCACTCAGCCACATCCGCCCAGAACCAGAACCAGGCTACAAAACGTTTGTCCTGCGCTGAAGGTTCCTCAGACCTCTGCAGCCTCCAGGTTCCTCAAATGAAAGAAGTTTGGTGCCACCAGGGTTCTCCTAAGAACTGATCACCCAGACACCCGGAGCCATCAGTGAGAGAGGGGACCAAGAACCAGATGGTGTCTCAGACTGAGCTTCAGAGCTGGAGGTGAGACTAGAAGACCCACCAGAAGTGCAGACCTCCACTAATCTGGACTTCACAGCAGAAGCCTGTCCTCAGATTAAAACGACTGAAAGCTTCTTGAAGACCTCTGGTCTGATGATGCTCCGTGAGACTCTACTGTCCCTACATTCCTCTGAGTCCAGCTCGTACACTGGGTTCCACGCCTTAGCACCCAAGCTCCACCTGTTGAGGATGGTGCTCAGCTACTACCACACCAAACATCTGTGACACTGACCGAGTTACAGCCGTTATTTTGAAGGAGGCAGCCTTCGTGAAGTGGACTGACTCCAGAACTTGTAGATGTACTGATTACTTACCATTCGTAAACCAGAACGTTACTGTTCTGAAGCTTTATCGCATGAAAACGTCGCCCTCATCCTTTGATTGATCAATTTACTGAAGCGAGTTTGAGATTTAGACTCTGGAGGTTTCAGACTCACCGTCAGGCTGGAGGCCGTAGAGCTCGTTCTTGCTCAGCGACATGTCAAACAGCGGGTTGTAATGGGAGACCTGAGACACTGGACCGTCCACGTCCGTCTCCATTTTGTCCACAGTCTGATGTCTCTTCACTTCCTTCTTCTACTGCTTTTTAATGCTGGGGAAAAGCAGAAGGAAATGAAATACTGCAAAGAAAACCAGAAAGGAACCTCTGAGCAGATCCTCTGCTGCCGTAGGTGGAATGAAGAAACTAAAACTGACCACAAGTATCAAAATATGAACTCCGTTCACTGAAGATACGTCCCACACACTGACATGAAGAATGCAAACTAACCATGGCTCAGTTCCTCCGTGGTTCTGAACCAGAAACCCGAGTCTTTGCCTCAGGTGGAGGAGCTCCAGGCGTCTTGTCCTCGAGTCACTGAGCATGAAACAGATCCCTGGATCCATCCTCAGTAATGTGGATGTTGCATCAGGTCATGGTGTGAAGTTGAGCTGAAAGGCAAAGCTCTGGATGTACTGGTCCATCTGCGTTCCAACCCTCACCTGAGGTTTGGATCACGACTGAAAGGACGAGGTCCTGCATCCGAGCAGAAGAAATGAAAAACAATGAAAGTAAATAAAATAAGTAAATAAAAGTAAAACATAAAATACCAAAAGTGAAAAGAAATATAATGTTTACAAGGTGCAAAAGAAATATAGTAAACAACAACAACGTATAACGCTGTATGTAGGATGAATTAGCATAAATGAGATATGTTATGTCCTGTGATGGACTGGAGACATGTCCAGGGTGTCCCCCGTCCCTCGCACAGTGACTGCTGGACATGGGCACCGGTGACCCCCGTGACCCAAAATGGAAGAAGCGGTAAAAGATGATGGATGGATGGATGGATGGATTGGATGGATGGATGGATGGATGGATATGCGTTAGATAAATAAATATCCTTTCATCACCTCAAATAAACCACTCCGAGGACACGAGAAGAATTTTAACTGGTCTTTACTTGCAAGACAGTCATGATAAGACTTTCACAAATGTACAAGTCACATGTTAGAGCCTCGTCAGTGAGAGTCTGTGCCGGGCAGTGAGGCAGGAAGTGTTTTATAATTCACGCTTATCACACAGAGGCAAGGTCAAGACGACCTTGGCTTTCCATCTTACAGACTTGGAGAAGGCCTTGAAGTTATCAGGTGCACCTGCAGGCTCCTCTCTGAGCAGACAAAGACTCTCTGACCTCACACACATGGTTCAACATTAATTTAATAGTGACAAACATCCGTGACCTTTACATAAATTCCCCTGACATTTATTGCCAGTTGTTCAGTGTTATTTATCAAGAGTTCAGTAATCTGACAGCTTGTGGACAATAACTGTCCTTTAGTCTTTTTGTACGTGATGACAGACTCCTGTATCGTCTGCCTGAGGGCAGTAGATGGAAGAGCCCTTGTGCTGGGTGGGTGTGGTCCTTCATGATGCTGCGTGCTTTACGCAGACATCAGCTGTGGTAGATGTCCTGGATGGTGTGGAGACTGCTGCCAGTGATGTCCTCTGCTGTTTGCACCACCTCTGTAGAGCTTTCTGACTGGTGCAGTTCCAGTACCACCCTGTGATGCAGCCTGTCAGCAGGCTCTCCATGGTGCACCTGTAGAAGTTGGTGAAGATGCTGATGTTCGTACCAAACTTCTTTAGTCTTCTTAGGAGTCTTTGTTGAGCTTTCTTGACCACAGTGTCTGTAAAGTCCAGGACAGATCCTCAGTAACGTGAACACAGAGGAACTTGAAGCTGCTGACCTGCTCCACCTCAGCGTTGTTTATGTAGATGGTGGAGTGCTGACCTCCACGCTGTTTCCTGAAGTCCACTATCATCTCCTTTGTTTTGCTGAGAAACTGAGAGGTTATTTTCCTGACACCAGCTGGTCAGTGATTTCACCTCGTCTCTGTAGACCCTCTCATCCTTGTTGTTGGTGATGAGGCCCAGGATTCATTCAACCTTTATTTATGCAGGCTAGTCTCACTGAACCACGAGGACTTGTTTACAAGAGAGACCTGTTCCAGACAGAACATATAAAGTACAAACAACAGTAACAATAAACAATGACAACAATAATCTACAGTAAAAAGTGCAGTTAGAATAAGAGTAGTGCATAAAACAATAAATCAGGGTGTTGTAAAACAGGGTGAAATGATAAAAACAAGAACATGTTTGCTTTGATGTTTCTATTGACAGGAGCCGAGTAGGACAAGGCCTTGTTGCCAAGTTCAGTCCACACTGAGGGAACGCTGCAGGTAATGATGTCCTGTGAGCACATGTTTTAACTGCACTGATGGCGTGACATGTGGGAGGATGTGGTGTCATCGTATACTTGAGGATGACGTTAGAGCTGTGCTTGGGGTACATTCATGTGTAAATAGTGAGTACAAGAGTGGACTGAGGACACAGCCCTGAGGTGTACCGGTGCTGAGGACCAGTGTGGAGGAGAGGTGACAGCTGATTCTCACTGCCTGTGGTCTGTTGGTGACGAAGTCCAGTCTCCAGCAGCAGATGGACTTCTCCTGGCCCAGTGTGGTGAGCTGGAGACCAGTTTGGAGGAGATTCTGCTGCTGAATGCTGAGCTGTTGTCAGTGAAGAGCATTCTCACATAGATGTTTACCTTCTCCAGATGGCTGAGGGAGGTGTGACCTGCTAAAGCAACGGCATCATCTGTAGACCGGTTTGCTCTGTATGTGAACTGTAGGGGGTCCAGGGTGTCAGGGAGGCACAGATGTGAGTTTTGATGATTTACTCAAAGCACTTCATGATGACAGATGTGAGTGATATGGGCCGAAAGTCATCAAGGCAGGATGCTGCGGAGGTCTTTGGGATGGGGACAACAGTGGAGGTCTTGAAGATGGTGGGTACAAGAGACTGGCTCAGAGACAGGTTAAAGATGTTGGTAACACCTTGGTGAGTTGGTCAGCCCACACTCTCAGCACCCGTCCTGGGATCAGGCCCTGGTGCCTTGTGAGGGTTTACCTTCTTGAACGCTCGTCTCACTGCAGCAGCGTCTAAACAGAGTGTGGTGTCCTCACTGTCCACATGTGGTCTGGTGACGTGTGGTGATGTTTGCATCATATCTGGTGTAGAAGGTGTTGAGCTCGTCCGGAAATGACGGTCAGCTCCACAGACCTGTTCCTTCTCCTGTAGTCTGTGATGCAGTGTAGTCCATGCCACACCCGCCTCGGGTCGTTGTTCTGTTGAGCAGATTCCACACGCTCCCTGTTTGTCCTCTGAGACGTCCTTGCGCTCCTTCTGAGCTCGTACTTGGCTGTTTGTAGGCCTCAGGCTCTCCAGAATTGAAGGCAGCTGTGCGTGCTTTAAGTTTAGCATGAACCTCTGGCCCAACCCATGGTTCTGGTTAGGGTAAGTGCAGCTGGAGGTTTTCGACGTCCCTCGAGAATGTTTATGGATCTCACCGGAGGACATTGATTGATTATTCCATCCTCATCAGAACCTTGCAGTGACCTCGAGAGCATCTATGAACATTGCTGACCGCTCTCGTCTCCCCGTCTGCAGATTGTCTACGTAAATATGTGTTTGTTTGTGCGACGTGTTTTTTATTATTAGAGGGTTTTTTCTCGGGCAGGAAAGAAAAAGTCTGATAGGAATTGTTTTTCTCCTCCAACTCCTCCATGTGTCCAGTTAACCACGTTTTATTGTCTGTCCAAACACGTCTCACTTGTAAACGAGTCTTTGAGGCTCAATGTGATTTATCTGTTTAAATAAAGGTTGATTGGAAAAAAAGTCACAACATCATTAATGCACTTCCCTTTGTATCTATGACTATTTGACAAATATTGCTAAAAAAAAAAGAGCACGTATTTTTATGAAAATGTGTTTTCTATGATCCTGTGTATTAAAAAGTGCTTCTTCTGCTTTCCACCTGGGTGTATCTCACGTGACGGGTTAAATGCAGAGAACTAATTTCACCGTTGTATGAGAACATACGGTGATGACAATCTCAGACTTCCCATAACAGAGTGGACCATTATTATTAATAATAATAATAACTTTTATTTATAATGCACTTTACTTTCACAGTGAATCTCAAAGTGCTACAAAGAGTGAACATCTTAGTGTTGTGAGTTGTTTTAACCCAAGGGCAGCAGCAGGGTTACTTTATGGTAACTGATGAGAACACTAAGTAATGATGAGTACTTTAATGAGCATGGAGTACTTTAATGAGCATGGAGTACTTTAATTAGCATGGAGTACTTTAATGAGCATGGAGTACTTTAATGAGCATGGAGTACTTTAATGAGCATGGAGTACTTTAATGAGCATGGAGTACTTCAATCAGCATGGAGTACTTTA